GTGATACCATAACCCCTGAAGGTAGGAGGCTCTGAGGCCTTGTGCGTAATAATATAGCGATCCTTGCTCTCATAAGGGAGTGGATGTGACTCCCCTGTCTGGGGGTCGAAGACTCGCCTGGGCGGCGCCCTGTCTCTATCTCTGTCCCTCCAATAGGAATCCCTCAAATTCTCTCTCCAGTCGTCTCTGTACCTGTCCGCTATGGTGTCCCTTCGCTCGTACTCGGGGGAGCGCCGCCTCATCGCTTCTCGTCGTCCGCTCGAGGTACCCGTCTTCAGAGCCTCCTGCGGCTCTGTCGCAACTGGTTCGCCTCTCATGTTGGGCCCTCCGTCATTGGTTTGGTCAGCCCATCTCAGCGGTGCTTCTTGCCTAATTCGTTCCTTCAGATCCCTCAGTGCTCGATCGGGCGATGCCCTGTACTCCTCTCCTGCTTCGCCCGTGGTCGGTTGTGGCCCCATCGTGTCGGGTTCCATTGGACCGCCACAAGATGCAGTTAGGTATTCTAGCCAACTGTTACAGACCGACCCTATGACAGTCGTTGCAGCCCGGACCTGTGACAGTCGCGGCAGCCCGGACCTGTTTCTTTATCACGACTCGCGTCCGCCTCCAATCTTAACTCTCGACTGTCTTGATTACCACCTCCAGTATCCCGTACCGGTCGCAGATCTCGTGTTCTCTCTCTATCCCAAGAATCCCTGTGTCTAAGTAACCTCTCCTTCGGGATCGGTCAACAAGGCCGTGCCTGTCCGGATCCACAGTACGCCCGTGACAGGACCTCTATCCTTGAGACAGATTGCAATCCCAAACCTAACGAATGTCTCTTGATCAACACTCCTCAAAAGTCCCCGAGCGTCTCTCCCCGTCCTTCTTGCTAGTTCTTCTAGCCCTGTCTGAATCGGTTAGCCCGCTAAAGGCCCTCCTACTGTCGCCCAATGTCGCCCATCGACCTTTCTAGCTTCCTCTATCCTTCCAAGAGCTTCCAATTTCTATTTCCACTACCTTATCTCCTCAACGGTTACGAGGTCATCTGTCTAACAGCTGAGGTAAGTTAGTGCTATAACGACTTGTAACCTCATCGCCGACCGCTCCAATATGTCATAAAATGTCTCAAAGTCCTCATTATCTCCCCCTTCGCCTATCGCCTCTAAGGTCTTTTTCGTTTCCTTCCAGTACCGGTTGTGAGCGGCTAACACCCTGAGTATTGCACCATCTGTTACAACTCTCCCCAACTCTCCAGCTTTCCTGGCTTCGCTTATCTTCAACCTCTCAGCCTCTCTGGTTGTCTCGTACCATGCCCTTATCCGAGACCGCCCTTCGAAGGGTGTTACTCGGAGTACGTATTTTATCCTCCGTCCTCCTTCTATTCCAATCCAAAGTCCTGTCCCCCTTGCCTCACGTAGGGCACGACGGAAACACTCTGCCTCCTCAACTATGCATAGTCTGGTATGGAGCTGGAGTTCTATGATCACTAACACTAATGGTCCGTTCAGTCTCCCTACCACATGTAATGAGTACCGATCCGTCGTGTGTAGTGCAGTCCCGCTCATGTCCTGTCGCTACKCCCCTGCGTTACTTTGTCTTCCGTTGTCTCGCTCTCTGCAAATCGCTTACTAGTTTCTTCGCGTGATACGCTTCTAGCCTTTACCTTATCCAAAAAGTCTGATCTCCACGCCTGGATAATCTCTCTCTCCTCCCTAAACAGACTCTCTAACTCTCTCGTCACGAGTTCAGCCCTTCGCAACTTGCCCTCGTCATGACACGACCAGTTCTCCCTTAACTTGTCCCCCAACTTCTTTACCTGGTTCAAAAGTGGTTCTTTAACGCGCTTTCTCACCCTTCCGACATCCTCACTCTCCTCTTCCATACTCAGTCCACATCTTTCTCCAGCTCACCCTCTCACCCTCGCTCTAGCCTCCKCTACCGTCTCATCGTGGTAGTACTCCGCGCGCATATAACCATGAGACCATATCATCACATCATAGGAAATCGAGGTCTGGAAGGTCACTCGCGCCAGTACATCAGCTCTACGCTCGTGGATCAAATCCCTAGCTCGTTGTCTGCACTCACTCGCCGTCAAGTCCTCGTTTACGTACGCTCGGAGAAGTACTGTCACAGTGTATCCCGTGCTTACCAGTTGCTCTTCTACACGCATCACCGTGGCTGTCCTTCCCGACATTCCCTAAGCTGCGTCCTCGAAGAGAAATCTCGCGTCCTCTAGCCCCGCGTAATCGATCTCTGCCCGTCTCCTACAGTACCTAATCAGATCGATAGGCCTCAGACAGTCCACCCAGCTCGTAACATCTATGATGTCGTCAAGCGTCTCTCTACTGGGCGGCCCCCACCTCACACAAATGGCGTAGTATACTTCCTTGAAGCGGGGCGCTAAGCCCTCCCAGAGCGCGTAAAGTGTGTGATCCACTGCTCTCCTCAAACGATGCACGCTCCCATAGGTCTGCCCTATCACGAAGGTAGGAACTCCGAATCGCCAATCCTTTCTCGGGTAGAGGGTCGGATGTGGTGGACCGTATACCAAGCAGCTCCTACTCGTCCTCCCTCCAGAGAGTCTCGCCAATTGCTGATTAACGATCACTCTGGCCAACAACTTGCTTCTCCACCAACTCCTGCTCACCCCTGCGAGCGTTAACCCTATCTCTAAATTGTGTGTTCTATCCGCTATTAGATGTYCGACCCCTTCTAGATCATGAGTCCTCTCGGGTCGTTCGTCTCATAGTATCACTGTCCATAGGAAGAGCCCCTCAGCGAGCCACGTTCCCAAGTATCGTATCGGTACACGCCCTGCCTCTTCTAACGCCACAGGAAGTGGTATGTCGTATCCAACTGCCGTCTCTCTGGGTCCCACAAGCTTCCTCACACTATACGATTCGGACTCTCGTGAGAAAACATAAGCTAACCAGGCCGCTGAATCACTCCTCATTTCTTCTCCTACTCTCGGTCAGCATCACYCTACTCCCTCCGATACACCCCATCTCTCGACGTTGCTAACTCTTCTGACAACTCTCGCACTCAGGTCCAGTATGGTCGAATAGGTTCAGTAGCCAGGCTCACTCAWCCGTCGCCCTGGTGCGCTCCTCTACCTCCTACGCCCGGACCGCTACTCCTATCCTGGGAAAATGGGCGTCTATAACGTCAATCTCCTCCTCGTCAACCTCACTCTCTGGGTCGACCCAGTCTGGTTCCCACAGCTCCTCGTCGTCCTCTCGCTCCCAACCCTCGTCGTCAAACTCGTCCTCGACGCGGTATGGCGCCTGTCCTATGGCCTGGTAGTATTCCGTCAACTGATGGTCGTATATCAGAGGTCGTCCGGCGTCCTCACTCCACCAGCTCCCCCAGTCGTCTGAGAAGATCCGCCCGATGCAAGTCACGTACTCGGGGCCTGCTCGGAGCTCAGGAACTGTATGAGGACTGTGTTGAGACTTGTTTATTATATGATAGTCGAGGGTGAAGAGCATGGCAAACAGTTGGGTCCTGCAATAATAGAAAATATACATATAAGATCTCAATTCTATATTTAAAAATAAATATTTGGACGAACAATTTTTTTGTTGCAAAATGGTGTTGGGTCCTGCTGGCAATACCAGACAATAGAAAATTTTTGTAAAAGTAGGTCAAATTATTTATGATCAGATAACCATAAGACATATTACCAGTGGTTAAAAATGATTATTGATCAGCAATAGAACTGTCATCAAAACACTCATCAAACCTAACCATCAGAGTACCTTGAGAACAACGTTTCTCCCTCTCTCTCATTGGTTCTTGCACAACTTGGTCTCTTTGCACGTGATGCATAGTGTTTGCATAATTGTTCGTCTTTTTTTCTTCGATAATTGTGATTTTCATTATCTTTTCTTCGTTTTTTTCAATGCAATTATGTCGTTTGGCTTTATTGTGCGTACGTTTTTTGCGTGGCGTTTACCTAGGAGGATGCAAGCAAGGAACAAGACAGTGGGCAGATTGCTACCCCATTGTGTACGCTTGAGAGTTTGTGCATGCGATGTGAAGAAAACGGCACAACACAAGTGCTTATGACAAAGATTCCTCACTCCAAATAAGTTGTTCTGATGTCCTTTGAACGCCCCCACTGTGGCGAGGGGAATAAGGAGATTCAGTTTGCAGGTCAGCTCCAATCACATGGGTGTCAGTACAAGCTTTCCATTTCGCCTGGCGCTTCATTTGAAGAGGACATGAAAAGGCAAGTAGTGAAGTCTGACTCTGCAGCCATTTACATCCCTAAGTTGGAGTTCGAAATACCGCCAGCGTCACACAAAGGCAGTTTGTCGACTATCGAAAGAATTCTTAGGAGAGCAGGTGACGGACTCCGTGAGTCGCAAGATGAGCTGCAAAAAATAGACCCTTCAGTTGTGGACGCAATCGATGCATTCTTAGGAAAGTTAGACACTTGTGTACAAGGCAACTCTGCGTTCACCGTGATCCTTGATGACCCTGCTGGAAATAGCTTTATTGAAAATCCTAGAGCGCCAACGAAAGATCCCTTGATGTCGGTTACACACTACGAGCGCTCGAAAGAGCAGACTCGGGCGGTTGGGTTCTTGACAGACGATATGGTGTCCGGCGAGCAAGGAGGCGCCTTTAGGTTGGAGGCAGAGCAGGTTTGCGCCATGTCGAACAGGGATGGCACTGAAAGTGTTGGTGGTGCTGCAGGTGCAGAGAGTGGCGGTGTTGCAAGTAGCACTGCTGCAGTGATGAAGTATGTGCATGTAGGAACGTGCCGACCTCATGAAGACGTCGGTGCCGTTGCTGCAAATCGTGCGATTGCTCATATCACTAACGAGGACATGTTTGCTGCCATCTTCAAATACTCAGCACCTGAAGAGGTCATGGTGTTTCCTTCCACATGCGGGGCTTGTGCGGTCCCATGTGAGACACGGATGTTTGCCTTTATCATCCCTTACTTCAAGGAGGTCATTGCCATGGCATCCACATGTGATGTATGCGGCTATCGGATCTCCGAGTTGAAACCCGGTGGTGCCATCCCAGAGAAGGGGAGAACAATTACAGTGAGAATAAAGGATGAAGAAGACCTGAAGCGTGATGTCATAAAGTCAAACATAGTGTGTTTTCAGATACCTGAATTGGAATTGGAACTATCTCCACGGACACTTGGCGGTCTTGTGACGACAGTCGAGGGGTTTTTGACACAGATCAGTGAACACTTGAAAAGTGTGCATGGATTTAGCTTCCGGGACAGCGCGCAGGAGTCACAGAAGCAGAGATGGGAGGATTTTGGTAGGAGGTTGCGTGATCTTTTGACCTTAGCTAAGATGCCATCGACGTTGATCCTTGACGACCTACTTGCTAACTCATTTATAGCGCCTGTTACGGATGCCATGGCGGACGACAAGAGACTGGCGATCGAGGAATTCGAAAGGACTTACGAACAAAATGGGGAACTGGGGCTTACTGAGATGGACACAAGCGCAGCAGACGCTGCATACCATAGTAGCAAAGAGTAACTGAAAGTTTTGATTTCCACCAAGAATTTGTTTTCTGGCTCGACTTTTTTCAGTTGGCAAGAGTTGTGACCGCTAT